TCTCTGGATGTGGATAACATTTTCCATCATAAGTCTTTTGTAATTGTCTTAGATTAGTATTAGTATTACTGAGAAGAGCTAAGTATATCAAAGTTGGTCATCACATTATGTTGCTGTTACTATGTATCATGTTCTCCTGGTTCTGCTCATTTCACTCAGCATCAGTTCATGTAAGTCTTTCCAGGTTTTTCTGAAATCCATCTGTTCATCATTTCTTATGGAACAATAGTTTTCCATTACATTCATATACCACAACTTGTTCAGCCATTCCCTGATTGATGGGCATCCTCTCAATTCCCAATTCTTTGCCCCCACAAAAAGAGCTGCTATACATATTTTTGTATATGTGGGTTCTTTTCCCTTTTTATGATCTCTTTGAGATACACACCAGTAATAGTATTGCTATATCAAAGGTTATGCACAGTTTTATAGCCCTGTGGGCATAGTTCCAAACAGCTCTCCAGAATGGTTGAATCAGTTTACAACTCTACCAACAATGCATTAGTGTTCCAATTTTGCCACATCTTTTCCAACATTTATAATTTTCCTGTTTTGTCATGTTAACCTATCTGATAGGTGTGAGGTGGTACCTCAGAGTTGTTTTAAATTGCTTTTATCTAATCAATAGTGATCTAGAGCATTTTTCATATGACTATAGATGGCTTTAATTTCTTCATCAGAAAAATGCCTCTTCTTATCTTTTGACCATTTATCAATTGGGGAATGGCTTGTATTCTTATAAATTTGACTCAGTTCCCTATATATTTGAGAAATGAGATCTTTATCAGAGACACTGGTTTTAAAAATTGTTTCCCCAGATTTCTGCTTCCCTTCTAATCTTGGTCGTATTGGCTTAGTTTGTGCAAAAACTTTTTAACTTAATGTAATCAAAATGATCAATTTTGCATTTCATAATGTTCTCTATCTCTTGTTTGGTCATAAATTCTTCCCTTTTCCGTAGATCTGACAGCTAAACTATGCCTTGCTCTCCTAATTTGCTTATAGTTTCATGTTTTGTCTAAATTGTGTACCTATTTTGACTTGGTGAAGCAATCTTAAATATAATTGAGAGAAATGATTCATGTTTGGTAAAACTTTTTTCAAATCAACTCTCATGACATTTTGAACTTTGATCACCTAAAAAAGATGTGATGAAGTATAATTTTGGAATACAGAGAACTGCTTTTGATAACGTGTTTTTAAAGCCCATTTTCTGAAGCAGATTAGTAAGCAATACTTGGAAAAAGCATTTTGAGACCTAATAGTATGAAAGTAGGGTATATCTAAGAGTAACACTAAACAGACACATTTTCCATTATAGAACACTGATTTGACTATGAGAAGAAATATTTTCCTGAAGGAAAGACCTATTTAAGTTTTGTGTAATTCACAGCACATAGTTACTCTTTGTGGAGATGTTTTTCAGGAAATAAGAGGAACTATATCTTTATTCCAAATTTTTTTGTTAAGTGGATGCTCTGAGGTGCTGTGTCTAGAACTATCAGGGATGACCTCAAACTGAACATATCCCCTTTTGGTTCCAGTACAAATTGAGTATAGCCAGGGTATGTAGAAAGTAACCATTGCTTATAAAATTCCGGGTACTTGGTGGGGGAGGGGAGGGCAATTGACTTTAAAATAGTTAGAGGGCAATCTCTGATGCATAACTCTGTACCCCCAGTACTTTCCAAGCATGAGTGCCCCTTCTTTCACCCTTGAAAATATGCTGCCAATGTAGTTCTTACTGGTAGAAAGTTCCTGTTATTCCACTTAGCTAAACACATTATTCACATAAAATTGAACTTAGGAACAGAGTTTCAGAGTTGGAAATGACCTTAGAGATCCCATAGTTCTGCTCCCTTATTTTACAGATGACAGAACTGAGACCTAGAGAGGTCCAAGTGACTTGTACAAGGTCACAAAAATAAGTAGCAGAACTGGAATTGGAAACCAAATCATCTGACCCCAGCCCAATGCATTTTCCATTACACTATGGTGTTCAAAACATCTTTGTGAACAAGACCCAGTAAAAACAAGTAGTTATTTTGTCAGCAGGAGAGAATGTTTCCATTGAGGTGTGCTGCTTTAATGTCCACCCTCTGTTGAACTCTGCTCATTAAACCTGTAAATGTATGCACCAATACCCAAGAGGAATTTTTCTTGAATACATTTTACTTTGAATTGGAAATATGCTGTTAAAGGTTTTCACTTAATAAGGGTAAAGCACAGAGCACATGCATAATTTAGACAAGTGGAAATTTTGCATTAGATGCAAGAAAGAGATGGGCATCCTTGTTCAATGTTGATGGCTTCAGAGAAAAGTAAGCCAAACACATTTAAATCCAAAAAGGATTACTGAAGAAAGAGAAAGTGCCAGAGGAATAAATCCTGGATACGTTATCTATCCAGTAACTGATTGTCAGAGTGTCAAAACCAAGATTGCCAAGATCTTCATCTTGAATGTTACTGACTTGAAAGGCACAGAAAAACAGATAATCAGGGCATAGCAACTGGCTGTGTGATTTCATTGGCAGAGAGGCCTCCAAGTTGAAGAATTTCCCTTTGCCAATGCAGGTTGGCACTTTCTCTGCAAGTTATGGTCTTAAGGACTTGCTCACGGCACTGAGATTTCAAATGACTGGCCTAGAGTCACACAGCCAGGATGTGTCTGAGGCAGGGCCTAAACACAGGACTTCTTGACCCCAAGGCCAGCTGTCTATCTGCTATATCCCACCTCCTTTCTCTGTTTAATAGTAACAATGACAAGAGAATCACAATAAAGAACATGTGGAGCGGTCCAGATCAGCTTCGGTGGATCGAATGCCTATGCCAATTACATCATAGATCTTTCAAAGTTTCAAAGTAAATGATAAATGGAATGAAGGGAGTGTGATTGCTAAAAAGGATAGTTTGAGAAGTGACTGCATTTTAAGTGATTCTTCACTTTATAATCAAAAGGCATAAAATCAGATCCCTGGAAATTGTTATGCATTTGATTGCTTGCCTATTGTCAGTAGGAATATATCTTGAAGTAAAATAGTTCTTTTAGAATGATGCATCACTTTTGCAATTCCTGAATAGTTATTTTTTTTTTCTTTTCTGGATATCAGGTGTTAAGGCTGCATTAGTTATTACTGATAAAAGTCGCACTTGACCATGGGCTTGAAAATCTAAGTAGTGAAATCTTGCTCTTGGCTACAAGTTTCTTTTAAAAATTTCACACTTAGGGGCAGCTAGGTGGTACAGTGGATAGAGCACTGGCCCTGAAGTCAGAAGAACCTGAGCTCAAATCCAGTCTCAGACCAAACACTTGACACTTACTAGCTGTGTGACCCTGGGCAAGTCACTTAACTCTAATTGCCTAAAAACAACCCCCCCCCAAAAATGTCACACTTAATTAATTTAATGTCTGTAAAGCTCTTTGGAGCTACAATACCTTACACACAGCAAACATGATTCTGCATATATTCTTCTCTTGCTTGTACACTGAATGTTTTAAATTTATAAAAAGGCAACTACAGAGGTTTCATAACCCTCATACTATTCTACAGGAAGCAAGTGAAACAAAAATTTAACCTACCAGACTGTTTCATTATCTATAGAATAATAAACCTACCTCAGAGGGTTTTGTGGTGTTAAAATGAAATAATATTTATAAAACACTTTGTAAATTTTCAAAGCATTGTATAATGCAAGTTATAAAGGAAGCTTCCCACAGAAAAGCATGTTTTTCAGACCCTATAGCAACACTTCTTTATAGTTTCCTCTTTTGGGCTTTCCAGGTCATCATACCCTTAATACATGAAATTCTGAGGAAAAGGACACTACACAACAGGAGTTTGTGAGGGTGAGAGTGTGTGTGGGCTGGAGGTACCCTACCAGAAAGACAAATAAAAGTATATGTGTGGACAAAGGGCCATATAGCTCCGAGAACATTTGTAAACCAGTTGGCCTCAAGTGGTACTGAATGGATTCACTGGACAACTCTTGTGACAATCCTTTCTGGATTTTCAATAGAGCTCAAGAGGGAAGAGAATAGACAGAGTATGCAGTCACTATTGACACTGAAGGTGATAGGTATTGATAGGTGTGAGCAGTCATTTGCAGTGATGACTTGTGAAGGTCTTCCAATATGCTTAAATAAGATTTTATTTTTACTCAATTACATGTAAAAACAATTTTAAACATTCATTGTTTTTTTTAAGATCTGAGTTCCAAATGCTATCGTTTCCTTCCTCTTTCCCTTACACCCTCCTTGACATGGTAAACAATCTGATATAGTTTCCTAAGGATTTTATTTATTATTCAAGTCATGTAGCATCATCTCCACATATAAATGAATTCATAAATTGATACTTTATTTTCAAAGACCATGATACTGATGTTGATTCAATTCATGTTTATTATGCACCTTTTTTTGAGGTACTGTGTTAAGCTATGGGGATAAAAAGCAAAATAAGTAAAATAAGACATAGTCCCTACCTTCAAGGACCTTACAGTCTGGTAAAGCTATGTTGTCATGCACTTATGAAATCAATTCAGATTTATTCAGGTAAATAGCTGAATAGCTAAAAAAAATCTCTTCTTACAGAAAAAAAATCATTTAACAGCACCAGATTGGTATATTACATGTCAATTAGAAAAAAAATATATAATGAACAAAAAACCAAGTATTAAAACATCTTCTATTTTCCTTACTCTAATTTTTTTTGTAGGAATACAATTAATATTTTTTCAGATTCAGCAAGTTATAGTAAAACTCAAATTGAAAGCTCTTTGCTTTATTACAGGTCTGATTATTGTGTGTATTGTCATAGAATTTTAGAACTGGATGGAAATTTAGAATTCATATGGTCCAGGAATTCTTAGTCTGGGGTCTGTAAATTTAAAAAATACGTATTTTGGTAACTGTGTTTCAGTATAATTAGTTTCCAATGTATTTTATTTCATGTATTTAAAAACATTCTGAGAATGGATCCATAAGCTTCACCAGACTGCTAGCAGAGTCCATGACACAAAAGAGGTTAAGAAACTATAATCTAGACTAACCACCTTATTTTTACAAATGAGAAACCTGAGATTTGGAGAAACTAAGCGACTCACCCAAGGTTATGCAATTGGCAGAGCCTGAATTCAGGTCCTCTGCATTTCAGCACATTGGGTGCTTTTCCACTATACCATATTGCCTTACTATCTAACATAAAAATTTCATAAGATATGTGTTTTCTACATCACAATTTAGTAAAAAAATTTTAAAAAATTGATGCTTGAAGAGTGGGAAATTTGAAACTATCTGCATTCAGGATTTAAAGAATTCAAGATCATGGGATCTCCTCTTGACACAGTGTGATTTACCAATTAAAGAACAGGAATTATTTTTATGAATGGAAATATAGTTAAGCCAACACTATTTTGAATATACTTGCTGTTTCAGTTTAAATTAATATGAAGAAAATATTACTATTTGCAAAAAAAAAGCTGTTCTAACAACCATATACATTAAAAGAAATATCTTTAAATACATTTTCAATACTGTCTGTGCAAAACTGCTGTAGTGTCCTCTGATGGGCCTTCTGGAGCCAGTTTTCTTTTAAGACATCCCCTTAGCCACAAACACTACAAGAATGTGGCCATGGCTTGCTTTTACATGTTGAGAGATTCTGGTAGCTGTTACTGCTCTTCTTTTGAACAATTGGTTTGGATGTGTGAAATCTGCAGAACAGGAAGCAACAGCTGGAAAGCATCCTGGATGTATGTAGTACTATTGGCGCCCTAATGAAGGAGGGAAAAAATTGTGGTTGAAAAATTATTTGTAGAGTTCAGTGTTGGCATTATCCCTTTAAATTTGATTACTCACCACCCTCTCCTCCTCCCACACATGATGCTTAATTCCATTTCCTCAATCATTTTGGAATATAAACAAAATCTAAGTACATCCTGTCTAACAGAGTCAACTCTTGATTATGAACTCTATCAGGCAGAAGGATTTCTACAAATGGAAAAATAATTAATTCAGCTTCTGGGATATAGTTAAAGAATTACACATACACTAGCGACTATACTTGACTTCTTCCTCCATCAGTCCAAATGTCTGAAAATCAAGACAAGGAAGAAGTCGTAGTTTGCCAGCTGCAAAGCAGATAATTAACTGATCTGAGGAGAAGATCTGGAACAAAGCACCTGAATATCTTGGAAGTCCCGGATAGTACCATCCTTTCCATCCTTAACTGTCTACTCTGCTTTCAACTAGGATATATTATAGTTAAAGTTGCAAACCAAATTAATGTCCAGCATTAGCCCAAGGAACACTTTATGACAAAAAACCCGCAAACAACCCCAAAATAAAATCCCTCCCTAACTCAAAATCCAAACACTGGAAGTACGAATTCATCTTTGATTTTCTAACCCTTTTCCCCCCAACTGATTTGTTATATCATATTGTCAGTGCCTTTGAGGAATGGAAAGTAGGGAAGATTTTCTTAGTTTACATTACTAAACTAAAAGCCAGCCAGTGCCTTAGCTTAGTCTGGGACATTAACCACCTGCTAAAAATTACCTTATTGGCCCAAATATTGGCCACATTTCTCTTTCAAATCTGGCTTCTACAAAATCTGAATGTGGCCTTGAATTGGACCCTTAGCGAAAGAATGGCAATGAAAGCAATAAAGATGTAGTTAGCAATGGGAACAAAAATAAATAAAACATTGTTATCTGAATTGGGGAAAATTGTTTAAAAAATTCTTTGATTGGAAATAAATATTTTAATAGGGTAATTTGGCATGACTATTTTACACATGACCATGGGTTTAATCTCTCTCTCTCTCTCTCTCTGAGTTTCCTCGTCTCTAAATTGGGGATAAGAATATCTGTATCAGCAACTTCAAAGGGTAGTTTTATAAACTTAAATGTACCATCTAAGTATAAATTGTTATCTTGTTAATGCTCCATAGCTCTAGGCACTTACCTATGTAATAGCCCAATTTTTCCCCATTAAAACCTTGTTGGTTCCCTTTATCTACCACAGGTACAAACCATTGTGCCTGTAGAGTATTTTCAGAACTCTCTAGAACCCACCTTCATGAATGGGGAAAGGCTGCTATATTTCCTTTATCCTCTCACACATCATAGTTCCTAGCAAGGTCACAGATGACATTGGGGTAACCTTAATTTAGTGATTCTATTACAAGAGATGATAGTTAGCGTTTGGGCCAGAGAAGGGCAGGCCTCTTGAGGTCTGTGTACAGGTAGACAAAGCTTGGATCACTTTTTTAAGCCCAAAGGCACCTGCCACATCTGCCAACCTAGACTGGACCTCACTGGCCAAGAGGACCCAGTGGGTGTGAAGAGAGAAAAGGTTCAGATTTCCATGGGACCAATTCCAAGTTTCAGACTGCCACAGAAGCCAGTAATTACAGTGTTAAAATTGGTGTCAAATTTTATAGCAACACACCCAGAACCATTTGATAAGCCTAAGGTGACAGTTGCAGAAATAAATGCAAGGCTAGCATTTCTCTTTGCACTCAGAAATCCTTAGAAATTTAGGTATTGTTGATTGACTTCAGGGTTTCCAGCTAGTTGCTGTACACAAAAAAGGGCTGTTGATGAGATAGTGGAGAATCACAGTAACACTTTCTTCTTAAGAGAAAGACATGGAAAATGTATCCTCCATACCAGCTTCTTTTCAAAGGCATTTTATCAAACTATCTCCAGGTGACAGTTAAAAGCTTACCTCTAACAAAACACTATTGATCATTGGGTTAAGGACCTCCGCCTTCTGGTTGCTCTGTGAAATCAAAACACAAATCAGGTAGATTGAAGTCTATATCACAGGCCCAAACACACTGATATCAGAGAGCAGAAATTCATTTGCATTGTCAAGGAATCATTCACGAACCATGGGTTGGTGAATTAAGAACAAGAGAGGACTTGAGCCATCACAGGAAAATATCATTCTAATGCCTCCCATCTGCCTGATGTCTTGGGAAAAAAAATTCTAGGGCGCAGCTAGGTGGTGCAGTGGATAGAGCACCAGCCCTGGAGTCAGGAGGACCTGAGTTCAAATCTGACCTCAGACCAAACACTTGGCACTTACTAGCTGTGTGACCCTGGGCAAGTCACTTAACCCCAATGGCCTAAAAATTAAAAAAAAAAGAAAGAAAAAAAATCCTAGATTAAGAATCAGAAGATCCAGAATCTAGTTCCAGCTCTGTCACTTACAAGTTATATGACCTCAGGGAAGACACTTAACATCTCTGGGCTTTTCTTCCCTAATCTGTAAAATGGGGCTACAAATGAATGATCTGTCTATTTTACAGGCCTGTTGCAATGCTCAATTGAGAAATATAATAGCGTGTTGAAAACTATATATGATTTTAAATTAATATTGTTCTTAGTCCTGATGTTACGATTTTTAACTAAGCATTTCCATTATAGACCTTCAAAATTTATGTAGTTTATACACTAATACACAATTTGTATTTTACACTCCCACATATTACACAAAGTGCTAATAGCACAGTGCAGAGGATAGAGTAAATTAATAATTCATTCAATAAATATTTATAGAGTATATATCATGTGTGAAGGTCCACGCTAGCAACAACATATATGTAAAATTATACAAGATACAGTCTCTGCCCTCAAGACATTTATAATTTAGTTGAGGAATTTCTCATCTAGTAAGTAAATACTTGTTGGATGACATAATTGATAGTATCCCTAATGTATATGTGAATTGGAATATGATACTAATATCTTTAGGAGTATGTTACTATACTCAAATAAAAGCCATTGCTTTCTGTGACAAGTCAAATGTCAAATTATATTGATTTGATTGTGAAAGGGTGGGTTATAGGATACAAACAGGGATAGGGGCTGGACCTATGATGTGAACTGCAATAGAAACTTCCTTGCACAGAGAAACTCCCTCTACCAATACAAGTAAGCAATTTCTCTACAGTTTATAGTTTTAGAGAGTTTCCCAGGGTGCCAAAAGGTGAAGTTACTTGCTCAAGGTAACAAAACCAGTATATGTCAGAGATGGGACTTGAACCAAGGTCCACATTAACAAATTATGGAAAAAAAGGAAAAGTTTGGTCATTTTCTCCCTCTTCTTGTACTTCTTACCACCTTTGTTTATGGAGCCAAATTACAGTTCTGAATTAGACGCGCACTCAAAGAATTAAAACATGAGCATATTTGTGAGGGGTAGATGGTAACCTTAAATAATGATGGCTATAGGATCATAGAGTAGAAAGGGACCTCAGGGGCTACCTAGCTCATTTATTACATATGAGGAAACTGAGGCAGGTTAAGTGACTTGCCCAAGACCATAAAGATAATAAATATGAGAAGCACAATTTGAACCCAGGTCATCTGGATCCAGAGTAAGTGTGCTCTTTCCACTGTACTATGAAATGTGAATAGATCTCTGTTAAGACAGTGGCTTTCTTCTAAAGAACCTAAAACACTTTCACTTGTCATCTGATCTACCTTTACAATGGCATAGTATTTATGAAGTGGCTATTATTTTTACATTCTATGCAGGGGAAGGATCTGGACCCATAATTTTATTGGTATAGGGAATGAACTGTCTCTACTAAGGCAAATTTTTTTTTTAGGCAATTGGGGTTAAGTGACTTGCCCAGGGTCACACAGCTAGTAAGTGTCAAGTGTTTGGTTCGAAGCTGGATTGGAACTCAGGTCCTCTTGACTTCAGGGCTGGTGCTTTATCCACTGTGCCACCTAGCTGCCCCTAAATTGACACTTTCTTTACAAGGTATAGAGTGAGAGCTGTCCAGGGTACTGAAAGGTTGTTAAGTGACTTGCCCAGAGTAACATAGTATGTTTCAGAGGCTAGACTTGAACTCATTTCTTCCTGGCTCCAAAGTCAGCTCTCTGTCCACTACACCACAGTGTAGTGTCTCTTTCAGTGGAAAGAGAGGTAGTTTATATGTCAGAGGACCCAAGTTTAATTCCTGGTTTTGCTGTCTATGTGACCTTGGACAAGTCACTTTTTCTCTTTGGCTCTCAGTTTCCTCATCTGTAAAATGAAGATGTTGGACTGGGTAGCCTCTAAGTCCTGTTGACCTTTGAAACTATTCTCTCATATGGGGACATTAGGTCCCCTAGGTTACATAGATATTGGTGAGGCTGGGATTATAATAAGGACCCCCCCCCCAATCCAGTACTTGCTTGCTATCCATCATCATACCTCTGTACAAAAAAGGGAAGACAACCCAAAGGGTTTTCCTCACTGCATCTAAGATGATACTCCCAAAATTTGCCCCAACACAAGTAACTTCACACAGCAGCTGGTTATAATAATTCCAATATAGACAAAATAGCATATACTGTATATTATTTCTAGGGACACTAAAATGGAGTTTGGGGAGAAATCTTTTGAAATGTAATCCTTATTGTCAGTAACCAGAAAATCCATTATGATGTTTGTTCTTGGTTTATCTGATTATCAATAAACTGCTGAAATATAATCAAAATGAGGGTAATAAAATGACATTGATTTTGAGAATGTACAAACAATCTGAAAGGAGTCTGGAGAGCAATATAAACCCATTAACTTCTAGTTATGAATAATGGCTGTGTTTTTGGAGCTAAAAAAAACCTCACAGAAATAGTGACTTAAAATTCGTGAATAATAGCTTTATAACACAAATACTATTATACTGGGAGATGGAACTTTCATAGTAATCAGTACTTTAGATTTTTTTTGCTTACTTAAAATATAAAAAACCCCAAACTCCACCATCTTTTGCAGAAACATTATTGCCCTACAATATTTTTAATAAACATTTTATTCAGATATGGGAAAACTTATGAAACACTTAATTTTATGCATATAAATTATATAAATATTCTGTTGATCTATTATAACTATCCCTCTCCAAAAGAATACAAGTTCCTCAAGGACAGAGACTCTTTCATTTTTGTATTTGTATCCCCAAGGCCCACTATAGTTCCTTCTACATTGTAAGCATTTAATAAATGCTTGTTGATTGGATGATATGATGGCTAGAGAACTACAGAAGATGATAAATGGCTATTTGCCTAGTGGACTGTGAAATAATTTGCATAGGGTCATTAACAAACTGGGGAATATAAAGAATTGGTGAAAATAAAGAAACCAAACCAAGCATGACTATAAAGTAACGAGGTTGGTTTTTTCCTGTGGTTTGTAAATTGGCTCTGAAGGCCAATCCAAAGCAGAAGAAGCTGCATAAAACATAGCAAAGAAAAAGAATTCAAATGAAATAAAAAATAAATGACATTAAAGAGGGATCCATGGACCTCAGACCACAGAATTTTCTTATTTTGCAGATGAGGAAACTGAGCCCTGTGAAGTTAAATGATTTGCCCAATCATACAACTAGCTACAATAGTGGCCAAGTCCGAACCAGAATTCCAGTCCCCTGACTCCCAATTCATGTCTTCTTATCAGTCTATTTGTTGTCATAGAAAGAGATGAACTTGGAGACAAAAGAAACCTGGGTTCAAATCCCAGCCCTGACATTTATTCATTATGGGAGTGACTTCAGGCAAGACAGTTAATCTCTCTAATTTTCCTCATCTGCAAAGTGAAGATAATACATTGTGTAATATTCATGTTGCAGGGTTGCTGTGACAAAAGTACTTTGTAAACCTGATACTGTCATACAATGTGAAAGATTATTACGTACCATATCACCAATATGGTACCATTACAGAGAAAACTACTGACTTAGTTTTTCTAAACTGCATTTTAGGGGTATTATTTGGTTAAATCTTGTTGGAGACACAAATTTTGGTCTTGTAACCCCACTACTCTTCTTCTCATTCCCTTACAAATGCACCTCCCTGTTTAAATATCCATGATAAATCAACACCAGGCAGTATGGTGCTATTGAGAGAGCTGGCCTCAGAGTGAGAAAGACTTAGTTTCAAGTCCCAGCTCTAACATGTACTGGCTGTGTGACTCTGGATAAATCACCTATCCTCAGTGTCTCTAGGCAACTCTACAGGACTTTAAGTTGTAGAACAGTTGCATATTTACATTGGTGTGGGGGCACCCTACTCTGATGAAGTCAGAGGACCACATCCCATCTCCCTCTCCCTATTAAAAAAATTATTATACTCTTACCCCAGTGGTGGTCAAAAAATCAGAAAACTTCTTAGATAAGGAGGCCACTTCATTACACATTGCACTGGTTAATCTGAAGGAAAAACACATGAGACCAATAGATTATTTTAAAGTCAATTTTTAAAAAATCAAAATGCTGAGATCAGAATCTTAAAAAGTAATAGATTCAGTCCTGCCATTGGAGATATTTTTTTTCACTTTGTGTTATTCATGGAGTTCTGGCCAACTAGATAATGGGTTTACTATGGATTTTAGTTTATTTTAAGATAAGATTATAAAAAATACATTTTGATTTGGATGCGTTTTCCCCACTGAAGAGGGGAAGAAGGCTGATATTTTCATTTGTTGATATTATTTGGTATGGGGGTTAGAGTTGGGGGGAGGAATGAGGGATTCCTTTTTAATACCCTGTCCTATTATTCATAATATAGAGTACACTTCTGATTTGTATAAAACATGAGTACATTCCGTAATTGATGTTATTTTTAACTGTATACTCATTTTTTTCTTTTAAAGAAATCTCATTCTAAGGGAATAGGCTCTAGTGAGGGGAGGTGGCCCCTGAGCAAAGGGAGCAAAGCAACTTGAAGGCAAGACAAGAGGTACCATGTGCCAGGTAAGTCACATCACTGACACTCACTTAACCACTGTCTCTTCAGGTCCTAATGGAAAAAGTCAAGAACCTTGAGGCTAAGAGCCCCACGAAGAACAGACACCCATTAGATTATTGGCTCTGCTTCCAGCCTAGTGCCCATAGCCATCATCCAAGGAAGCATACCTTTGGGGGAATGGTTGAGCTATCCTTACCCACTACCACCCATAGGGTAGGTAAGGAATCCACATCTGCCCCAAAAGTCAAACCACCACTACCACCATCACCACTTTGACCACCACTTCTTCTCACTTCTCAATGGATATAGCCCAGGGCACTGAGTGCAAGGACCCAAGGAATAAAAGTACCTCCTTATTCCTTCCTTCCTGCTAACATCACCATTCCCATGTCCAGACAAGTTCCTGCCTCTGTCATCCAGGGAAGCAAACCCTGTGACTTGGCAACTGCTTCCATATGTGCCAAAGCACTCAGGGGTCATAGCTATGAAGACCAAGGTCCTTGACACTGTCAAATGGCTCAACATCAGAAACTTATGTTTTAATTAGTGGAAACAATACTAAGGAAACGTGTTAACCATCCGCTTTGCTACTGAAATCTAAGGACCCCTGGGCCTTTCCATCTGACTTGCTGCTGCAACCTCATACATGTGTTGCTTCACCCATTAGAATGTGAGCATCTTGAGATCCAAGGCTGTCTTACTTTTTTTATTTGTATCCTCAGCAGTGCTTTATAGAGAGTAAGCTCTTAATAAATGCCTTTTCTTTAATTAATTCATCCACTCATATAGGTAATTAGGGGGTTGCTACACATGGTTTTAGCACTAATACACATTCTGAAGAGGATGAGATGGTAGTTGCTGCCAGGGTAGAGGGTATGCTGGCTGTGCATTTTCCAGAGGCTCCATTCTGGCTGTGTGTAGTACCAGTAGAGGCTTTCCCATGCTCCTGAAATGTGTAAGCTGATTGCCATCACATAGGCAGTATCAACTAAGGTTTTCTAGTAGTGGTGAGGAGACCAAGCCTTTTTTCTCAGGGTAGTCTAAGTTGGAAGCTGGAAAGTTTGGGAAAATTTTTCAAGGAAGAGGAAAGTTGCCCTGAATATGTTCCTTGAGACAAAGAACTATTTCATGTATTTTGTTTTAGTATCTTCAGTGCCTAGCACAGTACCTTGCATATAGTAAGTGCTTAACAAATGATGACTGACTTAATTTGATTGTTATATACCCCTAGGAGAACACAAAAGTGAGGGCTGGGATGATGTCCTCTCTTTATCTCCCAGTATGTAGCACATAAGAGACCCTTAGGAAATATTGTTGAATTGAATTGAATTGTGAGTGAAACAAACTCTGTTGGTGAGCTATAAAGGAGGGACAAGGGGCACTTCTACTGTTGCTCTTTGTCTAGGTTAAGACAATTTTTTAGGTCCTTTCCTTTGGCTCCCATGAATATCTGTAACTAGTGACTGGCCAAGGAAAACAGAATGGGGCTGACTCATCAACCAAAAATCTGGGAATGTGTCTGGTGGAAACTTCTGTGAAAATCTGCATACACTGGTAGATTTTGTCTCTCCAACTGTAAGACTAAATTAAGGAAGTGTGTTCTCAATTTTTGTGGTGAAAACTTATTTACACTAAGAATGCCTGCATTTCAAAATATCTGATCTACTGTAACAATGAGTGGTGGTGTCAATATGGCCAAGGTCATATGTCTCCTAAGACACTCCAGGTAATCTTGGTGTGGTAACTCCTGGAACGCAGCTATTACTTCTTATTTCCATAGTGCATTTCCTATGGAATTGATTTAAACATTTATTTTCACAGCAAAATGGAGATTTGTTGATGTAAGATCTTAATTTTTATGATGAAGATGGGAAAAAACACCCAACTGTTATGAAAGGCACTGAAAAATTTTTTTTTAAATTAAAGTTATATTTACTTTATAAGGACTTTTGCTTGGTCCTGGGCTGGTTTTTCCACTTCTTGCCCATGAAGAATTAGCTCTGCTACCTTATGAAGTTGTTCAATACAGCGTGCAGTTACTTCAGCAAGACTTTCGATCGATAACATGTACACTTCCTGTAATGAAATAGCAAATAGCATAAATATTCATATGTGGAGTCTGAGAGGCTACTATTCATTTTGAGCCCAGGCACAACACAAAATAAACCTGGACACTTTGAAGGATGAATTTCTAGAAGTGACTGAATATTATCTGTTATGGCCTGCTGAAAAACCATGAGAGATCGTAAAACTATTTACATTTATAAATACCAGTAATTTGAATTGGAAATACTATCCTCAGTGTTATCAAATTGAAAAATTATTTCACCTTAAAATATTTCTATTTCATGCCACCAAAATCTTTGGCACTGTCAAATGGTTCAACATCAGAAATGGTTATGACTTTATCAGTGGAAATGACATTAAAGAATAGACATTACTATCTGTTTTGCCACTGTAACCTAAAAATCACAAGACTTTTCCCTCTGACTTGCAGCTAACTTGCACCCGCTTTAGAATGTGAGCTCCTTGAGCACAGGGACTGTCTTATTTGCTTACTTGTATCCCCAAGTCTTTAGCATCATATATTAAACACTTAATAATGCTTTATTCATTCATTCACTTTTCAATAGCTTTGCAAGCTTTTAGGTGTGGGTACTTGCTTCTCTATGGAGATTGAAATCCATACATACCTTTTCATCCTCTGCATCCATGCCCTCTTGCAAATATTTCATTGAATAAATTATTGCCTTCAACATTTAAGTACCATATTAAATAATTTTGGTAAATAAGGACATTGAAGACTATGCTACATTATTTATAATGTATAAAGACATATGTGATGTTTTATAACAATGAATATGTATACAAAATTGGACTTTTCCCTGAGGGTAAAATTACTATGCCCCTATTAAAAAATATTTTCCTTTATAATTCTCATAAATCCATGAAGAAACTATTAAACTTATACAAATCTGCAAAGTGACTTACCCTAAGAAAGAAGTTTTATATTTATGAAATTATCACAAACTTTCTTTGAATGGTGGAAAAAACAATATTATCATAACTTAAAATAAGAAATGTTGATTGCAAGAGTTGCTGTTCAGTTGTTTATCAGTCATTTCCAACTCTTCATGGCCCCATTTGGGGTTTTCTTGGCAGAGATACTGCAGTGGTTTGCCATTTCCTTCTCCAGTTCATTTTACAGGTGAAGAAACCTAGGCAAACAGGTTTCTAAATGACTAGCCCAGGGTCACATAGCTAGTGCCTGAGGCAGAAGTTGAACTCAAAAAGAGGAGTGTTCTTGACTAAAGGCCCGACACTCTATCCACTGCACCACCTAGCTGCCCAATAGATTAACAGAAGATAATTGTGTTAGATAGAAGGATAGATGTGAAGGATAGGAGTTATTTTTACCTCTAGTGTCTTGGTTTTCTTTTCTTCTTTATTTTCATCTTCAGGGACTTTCGGATTCTCTTCTTCATCATCTGGAGTTTTCTCCACTGGCTGTTCTACCACATCAACTGATGTCACAGTTTGAGCTTCTTCCACCCAGTCATGAGCCTTTTTTCTAGCCTATAACAATCCCCACCCAAAGAAATATATTACAGCATGAGAATGGAGAATGATGAGCTGCTGTTAAATACAAAAAAAGGAGACAAAAATCCATTCAGCCTTCCTCTCCAACCCCTAGTCTAGAAGTCAGGTTGTAACAAACCTTAGGAGGACAGTCCTCAAGGGTACACAAATTGGATTCTTTTAACTCTTTAAAACACTCATTTGAGACTTTGGAAGGAAAGGTTTATTTCCTCTAAGGCTTCATTGTTCCCTAACATTTCCATTGTATATGTTAATAAAGAGTATACAATGGGGAGAATACTATGTTTTAAAAAGTACCAGAAAAAAAGATAATAAAAATTATATTTATTTTAAAAGAACTTTTGCTACCTTCTGGGCTGGCTCTCCTCTATTAATGATGTCATGCTGCCTCTATAATTAAGACATAATAAAGTAAAAATGATGGGTACATCCAAAGAAGGAAAAAAGCAAACATGGCTGTTTTTCATTTTTCCTGGCCAAATATTCAAAAATTAGCCCTTTAAAAAAAAATCAAGGGACAGCTAGGTGGTGCAGTGGATAGAGCACCAGCCCTGGAGTCAGGAGGACCTGAGTTCAAATCCAGCCTCAGACACATAACACTTACTAGCTGTGTGACCCTGGGCAAGTCACTTAATCCCATTGCCTAACCAAAAAAACAAAACAAAACAAAACAAAACAAAACAAAATCAGGCAGAAATTTAGCTATGGTCACTACCGGAGAAAATTTCCTTATCGGATAGATCTCATGAAGCTGCTAATGTTTCATGAGCCTAATGATATCTGTCTGAGAAGATGAACAATGGCTCAGAGGCTTCTGTACTCATGGACTTTCTTTTCATGGAGGGAAAAAAAAGAATTGCTGTTGAAGGTCTAGTGCTCTCTGGGGCTAGATCACTCTTCCTTGACTATGCCTGGCCTTAGCTACTCCCCCTCAACCCAACCCCGGCCTTCCTTTTGAGCAGAGGGTATAGATGGAGGAGGAAATTTCTATGCTCTTTCAAGTCCTGGAGCTTTTAGAAGTGATGCCTAATGAAGAAATCCCTGGTTTACCATCTTTTTCCTCATCTTACTCACTTTGCTGAATGAAGAAAGGAACAAAGAAATAAACAGAAAAAGGAAGGAAGAGAAAGAGAAAGAAAGAGGAAGGAAGGAAGGAAGGAAGGATAAAAAAAGAAAGGAAGGAAGGAAGAAGTGAAGAAAGGAAGAAAAGAAGAAAGGGAAAAGAAAGAAACAAAGAAAAATACACAAACAACTGGATTTAATAAACAGTTGAAAATGGTAATGATGTAATATCTACAAAAGACTAAATTTTCATCAGACCAGACACAAACAACTGGATTTAATAAACAGCTGAAAATGGTAATGATGTAATATCTAGAAAAGACTAAATTTCATCATACTCAGTCAAAAAGTTTCTCAGAAATATGTGGTACTAAGCCTCCAAGACATTAAAATATTAACGCAGAATCGCAGAATGGAAGAGATGGAAGGCACCTTGGAGTTAGTCTCAGTCAGTGGTTTTGGTCTCAGGATGCCTTTACATTCAAAAATTGCTGAGGTCTGTCTCTACACTGCTCCTTCAAAGAGTTTCTGTTTATGTGGATTATATCTACTGATATTTGCCATATTAGAAATTAAAGCTGATAAATTAAAAAAATATGAATTTATTAATTAACTTAAAACAACAATAATAAACCCATTACATGTTAACATAAGCATATTTAAGAAAAATATATTTTATAAAACAAAATATTTAGTTAGAAGAGTGGCATTGTTTTACATATTTTTGCAAATCTCTTTAGTGTCTGGCTTAATGGAAGACTGCTGGATGCTCATATTTGCTTATACATTTAATCTGTTGTGTTATGTAGTTTTGGAGGAAGTATTTGAAGAATATCCAGCCATACACAGATATGTTGTTGGAAAAGGGGGAAGTATCTTAATAGACAAGCAACATCTGAGCATTATTATGAAAATACTTTTGGGGGGCAGCTAGGTGGTGCAGTGGATAGAGTATTGGCCCTGAAGTCAGGAGGACCTGAGTTCAAATCCAGCCTCAGACCAAACACTTGACACGGACTAGCTGTGTGACCTTGGGCAAGTCACTTAACCCCAATTGCCTCACTAAAAAAAAAAACCAAAATACTTTTGGCCTTGTGGACCCTGAAAAAGGGTCTTAGGGACCCCCAGAAACCTTGGACCACACTTTGAAAACTGGTGGTCTAGCCTAGAAGTGTCAAACAGCTACCTAGAACACTCCCCTCTGAGAACCAGATTAAAATGTAATTGGGATATATAACAAAATAAATAAAAACGTGATGGAAGATAGGTAACATTAATATGTGGTTTTCCAAGTCAATATGTTGCCAAGAGATCCTTAAGGAAGGCTTAGTGGCTCCATTTCTATTTGAGTTTGATTTCACTGGCCTAAAATAGTGTTAGATCTCTGCAGGCGGCATATTGACCCAGAAAGCCACAAGTTAAAATTATCTACGTTGCACTGTATTCTTATTTATTCCATTAAACATTTCCCAGTGACATTTTAATTTGGTTCAGCTTGGGAATTTTGTAGGCATTCAGGTCTGTACTTTGATACCTCTAATCTAGGCCAACTCTCTCATGTTTTTAGAAGTGATGAAGCAGAGGCTTATCTAGGTTAAATACTCTAGCTAGTTAGGGGCAGTCAAGTCTAGAAGCAAGGTTTCTGAATTCCCAGTCCAGCACTCTTTCTAGAATACAAAGCAAATCCACAATATTTCATTATATGTTTTCGCACTTAAATAGTTCCCGCTGAACTCAATATTTTGCCCCACCCTCATATGATAAAATCAGGCTTCTACTTTTCTGTTCTGTTTTTTTTTTTTAAGGATATCTGGGATACAACTAAAGTAAGATTTTTATACAAAGTGATTTTGATATGACCAACCTTATTGAGTTTGTCGGGAGTCGCTGCAACATGTAATTCAAAGAGAAGTTCCGTTAGCATGCTAACAAATTCTCCCTTTTCACCTGCAAGTGGAAACAGAACAAGGCAGAAATCAGAAACAGCTTACTATTCTCTTTTCTGAGTGCAGGGACTCCCTGTAACTTTATGTCAGGACAAAGGCAAATAAATTGGCATCTGCAACAACTTTCCCTCCCGCTGCTGGGTGAATTTTCCCTCTTTTGACTTTGAAGTGAGCAAAGCAATTTTCCCAGTGGAGCAGTAATGGATAGAAAATTATCACAGTTATGCTGCTCTTGGCCTTGCCTGTGGACTTTCCTAATAGCCTGGGAAATGTCCTTTTTCAGGGCTCTGTGACCTAGAAATGACTTAGTTGGCACATTAGGACATCATTATATCAGTCATGTATAGAAAGCCTAGGGATTTCTTTTAAGGTGATATTTGGCTCTTTCAAATCAAATGCTTTTTCATAATCAACAAACAATAAACATAGTAGGAGCTTGTATTCCTTAGATCTCTCTTCCAATTGTCTGTTAACACTGCAGTATTCTATAGAATAATAGGGTTTGGAAAAGCCTGTCTGCTCCCTATTAATACCCTAATAAAGGATGTGTCTGCTGGGCATGTAGATGAATCTCAAACCAATTTAATATGAATGGAAAAGTAGGCATATGGGTCATTAGCTGTTGATGGTTTCTCAGTCACATTTTTCAGTATTAAGGGAATAATCATTTACAAAGCACTTACCACGTGCCAGCCACTGTGCTAAGCATTTTTTACAAATGTTATTTCATTTCATCTTTACCAACAACCCTGCAAAATAGGGACTATTATTATCCCCAATTTACCATTTAGGAAACTGAGGCAAACAAAAGTTAAGTGATTTACCCAGGGTCACACAGCTAGTAAGTGTCTGATACTGGAATTGAACTCAGGTCTTTCTGACTCCAATCCACTGTGCCATCTAGTATTAACAATGTCTATGACTTTTTCCATGCCTTTGCTGTCTTCCCTTCCTTAGATATTTAATGACTCAATCCCTTAATGCATTCCTGATTATGTTTCCTCCAGCATGGATCTCTTATATGCACAATTGGTTCAATGAGGATACTTTTCCATTTTTTATTCCCATTAGTGCCATTCCTGCCTGTATTAGCATGGAAGGGACCGTTAGGTTAGAATCCACATGTACTAGCTCTTAATGGTGAAAACTGTTATAAAAGCCTTAGCAGATAATTTCCATTCTTCTTTCGTCATCTTCCTTCCTTTTTTAGCCTTCAATGATCTAGTAATGACATCATTTAGTTGAGTCTTGAATAAGGCTTTCTTTAAACTACCCTCCACTGCTTGACCCTGCTTCAAAAAGTGACATTACTTATTATCTTCCATTATCCTTTTCCATGAGATTTTCACAAAAGAGCCTGATTCTAAACTGTTATTGTTTTAGGCTATTATTCATGTCTTTCTGCTTGCCAACTACATCAAGTTCTTTTTAGGCTCTTTGGGTCCCTCCAAATGTCACTTCAGTTGATCTCCTCCTGGATATTGTCTCTTCTCCAGACTTTCATGACATTGATTTCTTCTGGCTCTCCTACTTCACTGGCCACTTCTCAGTCTCCTTTGCTGATTCTTCATAAAGGTCATATCCACTAACCATAAGCGTCACCTAAAGTTCTGTCCTGAGCATTCTTCTCTTTGTTTTTTTAAACTGTCTCACTCGGTGAGCTCATAAGAGGTGATGTGACAAGGGAAGAAGGATCCAAGAGAAGAAGATGGCAGAATTTTAATGGCTAATTATAGGGTTGAAATTGGAAAGTCAGATCAGAACTAGTTGCCTGGGAAAGTACTGAGGGACAGAGAGATTGGAGGGCTTGATGAGAGTCAAGAATAGGTTTAGGAGGGGTGAGGCATAGATAGAAATAGAATAATAGGAGGTTATGGCTTGATAGAATAAGTAGATAGGTAGACAGAATGTCAGATTTTCTAATTAAGGAATTGGAACACTTATTGGTACCAGTGAGATTCAGCATGTAGCCATCCCTATGTGAGGCTGAGGGAGAGTGAAAGAGTAGATCATGGGATTTATGGCAGCTGAGGAATTGGGAGACAAAACGGTTTGAGAGAGCATCAGTGTGAATTTTAAAGAACCCTAATATAAGGACAGGAGTTAGGGAGGAGAGGAAGATGGTGAGCCAGGTGCTGAACTCCTTTGAGAAAAGAGGGAAACTGACCTCAGGGCCAGTGTACAGCCATCTGCTGGTTAAGTCCTATCAATTTTACTTAAACATCCCTCACATTGGAATATGTATTAATGCCCTGACTAGTCTCCTCTTTCCTATATTCTCTAGTCTAGATGTTCTTAACAAAGTAGTTTTCTTATAATGATGCTCTATCATGTCACCTTCCTATTCAGAGTCCTTCAATATCTTTCCATTGCTTACCAAAGTCCAAACATCATGATATTCAATGCCCTCTAACATCTTGCCCAACCAACCTTCCCAGTCTTACTTCCCACTATTTCCCTTTATTACCTAAATTTGTCTACTCTCTATTTCCTGAAGAGGCCTTGTGCTTATCATATATAAAAATCACAGATAAGACTATGGAACTTAACATTTTATCAATTATATGGATTTGTCACTGATGATAGTATCAACTTTAGGCAATGGTGCGAGATCATGCATTGTATTCACAGCATTAAAGAAAAAAAAAGAATATTCTACTTTTAAATGACCATTCAAAAGAAATACCCATAGACTTCCACTCCCACAAGAGAAGCAATGGGTCCTATTTCCATTAGATTGTGTGCTCCTTGAGGGTAGAGACTTGCCTTTTGCCTCCTTTTGTATCCCCAAAATTTAGCAGTGTCTGACACACAGTAGGCACTTAATAATGTTTATTGACTGACTGGATGATTAATCTCCTTGATGACTAAGTCTCTTCTGAGAAGTAGGGTGGTTAAAACTCTTTTAGGTCATTAGAATGGGCTGCATCTCATACAATTCCATTACAATAAATGATAGAACCTTCATTAGTCTTGCATCATTAAAAATCGAGCAAAAAACTCACACAAGAACATCCTAACACTTAAATGTATATCTTAAATTAATCCAATGAGAAAAATTCCACCTTTCCCAAGAGAAAATCCACCAAAAGACCCACCACTCCTAACACTAACTTTCCTCTATTTCCTTCTGTAATACTCATACAAATACTGGAAGTTGGTGAATAAACAGCATCATGTTCTTAAGGTTCCATTTACAGTACTCTTATTCTGTTTCTGTTATTTAACACATCTGAAAGGTTTTTTAAAAAAATCAATTTCACAAGTGAATACAATAACAGTATATCAGGGTATAAGCTGATATTTTTTCTCTTTACCTTTCTCCTCTTGATTCTCTTCACTCTCTGATTCCTTTGGCGTAAAGATATCTTTAATAGAAATTAGGTCATTTTTAAAGCTCCCCAGTTTCTCTCCATCAAGTGATGCTAAAAATGACTGAACCTGCAAACAAAATGGGTCAACTTAATGTCCATCTAGTATCAGCTTCACTTGTCCTTCCCAAGTCTCATGTACCTGACACTCAATTACCACCATCAAGTAATTTAGTTAGCGGGAGGAGGTTAGGATTTGGGGAACAAATGAGATAGTTACGTTACGATTTTCAGCCATGAGGCTACCATTTAGTAAAAGACTACCAATATGACTTCTTATTTTAATTTAGGAACTTAAAATACACTCCACCTTTTCTACAAAACTGCAAAGGGACAGGTCAACATAAGATCTAAAATTATTGATTCAAACACTTGACAAAAGCACATAAATTACTAATAAGAAATTTTTACCAGCTTCCTCTTTAACATAAGCCTGATCCACATTTAATAAGTACTTATTTTACAACCAGAGAGGAACTGTGAATAATGAAGCTTGAAAATAATCAGCAAGAAACACATTAACTATTAGTTCTTCATCAGCTGGAATCAAGTTTAATTGCAAGTCAGTAGCTGAAGGCAAATCCATACTTGGGGATTTTTGCAACTAACTCTCTTTTGGAATATAATGTAAAGTCTTCATTTGTTTGCAGCAAATATCACTCATATTTATGTTGTGGGCAAACGAGCATACATTTACATTACCATCCATAAGTACAGTCATATTTTCAAAATGGTGGGTTGTTTTTTTTTTTTTTTTTAACATTTACAAAAGTAAGTTTAAGACTGAGAGGCAGCAAGGTATAGTAGATAAAGAGCCAGTCTTGGAGTCAGGAAGATCCAGGTTCAATTCCTACCTCAAACACAGGCTGTATGCCTCTAGGCAAGCCACTTAACCTCACAATACCCTCGAAGCAACTGTTTTAGAAGATAAATTTCAGACAAGGTCCCAATTTGTATTGATAGGGGCACCCAAAACCAATGCAATCTCAAATCCAGTCCAAAAAGAAAAGTTCAGGATTAATGCATTAGGATATAGCATTTTTAAGAGCAAAAAAGGATGTAGTAATCCCCATTCACATTTCAAAGTAAAAAACAGTGTGCCAGTTTTGCTAAATTTGGTCATTCAATTTCAATTGAAGAAACATTAAGTGTGTACTATGTACAAGGTACTGCTCTGTTAGGGACTGGGAATACAAAGGAAAAAAATAAGAATTATAAGAATTCCTGTCCTCAAGAAGCTTACATTCTATTTACATTCATCCTAGTTTTAAGATAGATATACCTCTTAGGATGGTATTAACTGGAATGCCACTCAAGTTTTATGCTGTCTGAACTAAACACTACTTTCTTCCAGTTCTTTGGATGTTTCTTGGGTTCTGACAAAAGCTCCTTAAACTACTTCTCCTTTGTCCATTTAGGGTGTCAAATATCATCATCTTTCTTTTCTACAGACAATCAATCCAAGTCGACAAGGAAAGGTATAATAAAAAGAGCCCTAGGGTTGTAGTTAGAAAAAAATAGTTAGAATACAGACTCTGTCTCTTAATAGCTAGGTTAAATTATAAGGAAATATGAAAAATAACATCTCTGAGCCTCATTTGCAAAATAGGGATAATAATATTTGTACTATGTACCTCACAGGATTGTGGCAAAGAAAATATTTTATAACCTTTAAAGTTTTACATCTATATCGATATAATATGAGCTATTATTATTTATTCATTTGACAAACTTTTTTTGGTATTTACTGTGTGCAATGTACTGTGGGGAAATATAAGATGATTTCTCATGGTTACTAGTCCCAATAGAATAAAAGCTCCTTGAAGACAGGAATTGTTTTTCATTTTGTCTTTGTGTCCCCAGTATAGAACATAATGACTAGCATATAGCAAGTGCTTACTAGATGCTTGCTGGATTGGACTAAGGATCTTACAGTTTAGTAGTGTTTGTGATCTTTATTTAAGTCCAATTCATTTATCTTTTATTAACTTATTTATTCATTCATTTATGCAATAAATATTTCTTGAGAAATTACTGTTTGTCTAGCAAAAGCCAGGTGCTATAGGGTATTCTTTGCTCTTAAAGATCTTACAGTTTAATTGGATAGACAAGGCAAAACACAAGATAATTAAATAACAGGAGTAAAATGATTATGTAAAGCACCATTTTAAGAGTTGTAATGAGGCAGTAGATGATTAGGTGTCCAATGAGTAGTACAGTCTTCTTTTACTAATCAAGTTGTTCCATCTATATTTCTAATTTTTTTAGGATTTAGGATTCCAGGTGGTACTGGAATCTTAGGATCATTTGTCTTAGAATCCACAATCATTAAAGATGACCAATGTACTTGGGGCTATTTCAGATTGAGTCTTGTAAACAAACAATTGTAAAAGAACATGAATGAAGAGCAACATGAAATACATTGAGATGTTATAACTTAAAAGTACAACATTTATAAAATATAAATAGTAAATAGACCTGCTTTATAGAATCTTCCTCTTTTCACAGGAATGCTATAATGGTTACAAGTATATAAGGGCTGGTGTGGTATAATAGAAAGAATATCTAAGTATGGAGTCAGAATATTCCAACAATGTAAGAGGAGATAATGTGATACAGTAGAAAGAGCACTGGTTCTGGTCAGAGGACCTGGGTCCAAATCTCCCCTCTGACACTGTGTGATCTTGGGCAAGCCAGTTAACTTTGCTGGCTTCCTCATCAGTAAAACAAAGGGCTTGGACCCAATGGCTCTGAGGTTTCTGCCAGCTCTCTTTCTATAAGCCTAAGAGAAATGTGTTGCTGTGTGGAGTTACAAAGCCCTTCTCTGGCTGTGGCCCATGCACCTCCAGCTAATGGAGCTACAGCCAGAGGAAACAGCTCCAGTAAAAAAGCTGTGTTTTGTCAACTTAATCTCAGACCAGGGACTTTCCTTTACCAGCTTCTCCGAAAAGACTGTAATCACTCTAGATCAGGGCTTCTTAAACTTTTCCCACTAGACCCCTTTTTGGAGCTGCATGGCCTGAGGGCAGGAATAGTGCAAAGTGCACATGCTTTGTGTTCAGAACCAAGACTGCAGTGAAGTTGCTTGATGCAACACCAGCAAGTGCTGCCAGAAACGCATTTGATTTTTAATTAATTTTTGGTTGTTGTGCATTCAGAAATCTTCTGCTGTTGCCAAATTTTTCATGACCCCACATGGATCATGACCCACAGATTAAGAAGTACTGCTCTAGATAATATACGTAAATATATTTAACATATGTAAAATACATGTAAAAATACAAGTAAACCTTAAAACACTATATAAATCTAGATATTATTCTTATTATTACTATTAGATCAAAATGGAATTTCTAGGCTCCTCTCTGTCACAACCTTGCACGAGGAGAAGAGCTCTAAAAAAAAGTGACAATAGTATTGGAGACCTCAGTTCAAATGCTATATGTTAGCTATGTGACCTTGGGTAAGTCAATTAACCCTTTTGGGCCTCAATTTTATTTTTGTAAAATGAGTAGATTAAGCTAGATGATCTCAGAGGTCCCTTCCAGCTCTAAGTCCTATGATCTATTAAAATCTGAATGTTTTAGAGAAGGTAATAAATTATGTGGGAAAGGCCTTGCCTCAGAACGTGAGCTCCTTGAGGGAAGGGACCATGTTTCTTTGTATCCCCAGGGCTTAGCACAGTGACTGGCATATATTCAGTCATTCAGTCATGTCCAACTCTTTGTGACTCCATGGACCATACCATGCCAATATTCTCCATTGGGTTTTCTTGGCAAACATACTGGTTTGCCATTTCCTTCTCCAGTGAATTAAGGCAAACAGTGACTTTCCCAGGGTCACACAGCTAGTAAGTGTCTGAGGCCACATTTGAACTCAAGTTTTCTTCTTCTTCTTCTATTTTTTTTCCTTTTAAATTTAGAAATTTATTCCTTTTAAGCCACAAGCTTTATATAGCTTTATTTAAAGACAAAAAACAAAAAACAAAAAAGACAAAAAACCCAACAAAAACAAAATAAAATAAAACAGTGAAAACATGACAATCCAAAATTAAGACCCTTTCACTTTTCAAAAATGAGCTCTGAAAGTTCAGTCTACCAATTAGAAGAACCCTAACAAAACAAGAATTATAAATGGGGCAATATTGTCATTTCACAAACAGAAGTTTATATAACTGAAGGAATTTTTCTGGGGCAAAACTGTTCTTACAAGCAAATAGGGGGTGGGTTGGGGGGAACAAGACAGGAAAAAATGAAATTCCTTTTTGACTCTAGGCCCAGAGCTCTATCCACTGAACCATCTAGCTATCTCCATATACTTGGCATATAGTAGGTGCTTAATAAATGCTTGCTGGCTGACCTTGTTGACTGAATGAACAGAGTGTATACTTGAATTGAGAAATATTTCCTTCATGAGCTGTAAATTCCTTCTTTCCTGTCACTAGGCCACATTTATTATCACAGATGATATCAGATAGCACTGTCTAGCTCTTCGTTAGTAAGAATTTTTTCCTTTGTATACTGTGGCCAACATGTTTGTAAACAGGAGAGTACTTGCCTCTCTTGTATGATGAATTTGCTAGGTTTCTGTTAGTCTGAGAAAACAGAAATGTAACCTGGCCCTTCATACCGCAAGTATTTATTTCTAACATTACAGTGATGCAAAGCCAAATGTTTCTAAAACCTGCAGTCCCTTAGTGAAGCCTAAAAGGATGTGAACCTCCCTGTTCTGTTAAATGTCAAAACAAAGGCATAGGGAGCAGGGTGGTACTCATGAGAGCAGTCTCCAAGAAGGCCTGTCATGCCTGCTTGGCCATGTGTCATCTCCCAGATAGCAAAGGCCTGATCCCTAAAGGATTGATCCTCCTCTGAGAAGCAGGGGGTGGGGGAGAGAAACTTTTTGCAGTAATCCTTTTCCATCAAATGCCACCATTCATGGTGACTTCCCTCTTGCTTCTGCTTCTTTAGGGGCTGAGTGTTGGCAGCAGAAGCAATAAAAACTGGAGAATATGGCTAAGCTGTGAGCATGGGTGGTTCATCATTGCCACTAACACAGACAGTAATATAGAGACAAATGAGACTTTAAAAAAAGGACTAATCCTGATGGTAGAGTTCTGGTATCTTTAATGTTTAAGGGAAACATTTAAACAAGGATTGTATTGAACATTTCTGGGATGAACTACATACCTTGATTTCGCTTTCATTAGAGAGAATTTCTAGGGCTTCCAGGTGTGACAAGCCTTGATATTCATCAAAAAGCATCCCATAGTGTGCCGTTCTTTCTGCTGTGAGCTGCTGAGCCAATCTCTGCTTCTCTTTTTCTTTGGCTTCCCTTAACATCTGCAGAAACACACAACGTTTGCAAGCCCGACTGCTTATTTAAATACTCTCCAGCCTTCTCTGACAGAAACGAGAAATTTTAAAGAATTGAACTTGCATTTGGAAAGATTAAAGTTTTGGTTACTCTGGTTTTTCTCAGAAGGCTTCCTTTTTGTTCACCTCCTTAATAAAATATTTAGGTTGTGGTCTACTTTTGATTTTCCATGTGGTCATTTGCAAATGTCTTTATTTATTGATTACTTTTTTTAATTGCTTTAGCCATCACCAGGAATGGAATTCAAATTAAAATCCCAGTTTATAAATGTGCTTTCAAGATTCTTAAAAGATGGATTTCTTTCTCCAGAAATATATCTGTGACTGAGTTTCTTTCTGTATTGATGGTTTTTGTTCTTTTTTATTGATAACATTATCAAATAAAAAGACAATAAAATAGAAACAAGGATCACAGGCAGTTTCAATATGCTACACTTGCTTTCTTTCCTCCCAAACATGTTTCATTTGATTCCTCATAAAATTTATGAGGGTGCTAGGTTTATAGCTTTTATTCTTCTACCCATGACAGATACTATAAAAACCCTGGGACAAAGCTTTGGCTCACGCACAGATCACCAGGGGAAGCGCTCTGCTATCGCTGTTTATTTTATAACCAAGAAATAAAAAAACAAAACCCTAAATCAGCTTTATTCCCTTCTATGTACACAAGGATAGCGGCCAGGATCCTTTTAGCACACAGATGATTCTCTCTCCCATCTGTCTTTGAGACCAAATTAGTGCCAGCTTTTTGAAAGCTTTCCATGTAAACCTGTCTAGTTATTGCTGGGAATTCCTTTTAACTCCTTCAATATAACCTAGTATGACCACGGAGCTCTGAGCCTGAGGTTGGAAAATGAACAAACAAAAGGAAGATAAATGGCTGCCCAGTTTTTCCAACCCTTCCCTCTATTGACTTCTACCGAACATATTAAACTTTAGAGAACAGCAGTCATAAGGGAAAAGGAGGTTGGGGAAGAAAAGTGAACTAAAAAGGGAAAAACTAAGGTCATTAGTTTGGGTATAGAGTAGAGCCTCAGAGTTGCATTTCTCTAATTATTGGTGATTTTGGAACATTTTTTTTCCAAATGGCTTTTGATAGCTTGTATTTCTTCCTTCGAAAACTGCCTTTTCATATTCTTTGACTATTAATTGGGGATTCGTTGCTATGCATACTATGTCAGTCAAACAACAGGAAGGACGCTGTCACATTATATGGACTCCTTGTGGATGTTTTTGGGGATATGGGTAAGAACTGTTTTTGGAAGGATGTGGGTATAAACAGGAATTGAAGGCATGGATGAATTATGTTGGGGGGTATGCGTACATTGAGAAGACCATGGATCCACTAGCGTATCAAAGCTGAAGTTTCCCACTTCTGCAACTCTGAGGCTCTACTCTATACCCAATAGAGTGGCAAATTTGACAAAAAAAGGAAAATTTTAAGTGTTGAAGGAGCTATGGAATAACAGGCAGATTATCGCACTGTTGGTGGAGATATTAATTGGTTCAGCCATTCTGGAGAGCAATTGGAGCTATGCCTCAAAGTTACTCAGCTGTTCATACCTTTTGACCCAGGGATACTACTATTGGGCCTATTTCACAAAGACATCAAAGAGCATGGAAGAGGACCCATATATCCAAAAGTGTTTAAATAGCTCTTCTTATGGTGGCAAAAAACTGGAAACTAAGGGGTAGCCATCAGTTGGTAAGAGAAAGAGAAAATAAATGCTTATTCCCATGTTACCAAGGAAAACCAGTAGCACTTTATGGAAGTGTTTAAAAAAGACCAACATCTCTCTTTTTAGGATGATCTTCATTAAATCTTACTATGAATCAGTGGGACATATTGCCCAAGACTCTTTGAGCTATATGTATTAATTAAGCCCTAACTTTTTCTGTGTTACTTAAGGCTGGAAAATGGCTAGCATGTTTCTCTAGTAAAGACAAATTGCATAATCAGTTCCCTCTCTTCTCTTACTCTGGATTGTCTGGTTCCCAACTATTGTTTTGAACTCCTGGCCAGTCTGTTTTGTCCCATCTAGTTTTTTTATTACACTGTTAGTGGCTACTATTTATACTTGGCTTCTCTACTATTGCTTAATCCCCATTGGCATAAGCAACTGCTCATCAATTGTCCCAGAAGTTGACTTTTTACACCCCAACCCTGATCCTGGCCCTACTCTTAAAAAAGCCAGATTGGACTAGACAGTTACCAGAGAGGCTGTACTTCAGTTCTACTACAATAGGAACTCTGAGCCCCTTGGCTGCAGTAGAATTTTTGTTGTTTTTCAGTCATTTCAGTAATGTCTGACTGTGACATTTTTGGGGGGGTTTTCTTGGCAGAGATACTGGAGTGATTTGCCATTTCCTTCTCCTACTCTTTTTATAGATGAGGAAACGGAGGCAAACAGGGTTAAGTGACTTGCCCAGGGTCATATAGCTAGTAAGTGTCTGAGACTGGATTTGCACTCAGGAAGATGAGTCTTCCTGATTCCAGGGCTGGCACTCTATTTACTGTGCCACTTAGCTGCCCAAAATTTTTAGGGATTACTGCTAATATGAGGCACTTAGAGAAAATAATTCTTATGGATTCCAATTATTGAATCATGAAACTATATATTTATCCTCTATGTACATGGAATGTATCACACCAGATGGTTCTTGTAACAAAACCACAAGTCCTAAGGGTAACATTTTTGATCTCAGGTAATTAACATCTTCAGCAGATGAGGCCTTCTCATTAGTTTACAAGGAGTACAGTAATGCCACTGGGAATGCCGACCTCCTGTTTGGATGATGAGCATGCTTATGAGATGCACATTACTTCACAGGAGAAATGGATTGGGGAATTTACTGTGTCTGCTCCAATGCAAGTAAGCCAGTTTCTACTATGATTACCCAGTAAAGTGATAATAGTGTGGTGATTGTGATTACTACCTCAGTCTACTGAATGTGCTTCTTATTTAGGGGAAATGATGTGCTCCTCAAGTCAATCTACAGCAATCCTCCTGGTTTTGTACTGGCTTACTGAATTGAGGCTTCACTGTGATACCTAATAACCCCACAAACCAAGCAAAGGGCTTTAAGCACTAAGTTCAATGGCCTAGAAGCATAGGATGGAGCTTTGAGGTCTTCTATTATGGTTCATTTTCTGTCTAGTCAAATCATTGCAGTTTGGAGCTGGACTTAAATTCAGGAAGACCTTGGTTCGTATGCTCTCTCGGACACATAGTAGTTATGGAACCAAAAGCAATTTACTTAATTTTTCTGAGCCTCAGTTTCCTCATCTGTAAAGTAGAGATAATAGCTATAACAGCCATCTCCCAGAGTTTTTATAGGGCTCCAGTGAGATTATGTATCAAAACCACTTTGCCTTGCAAATTTTTGAGGCATTATGTAAGTTATCATCATCATCATCATCATCATTACTGGAGTCCTCTCCAATAAAAATTCTCACTTCCTCTTAACAAAGAAAGGGTTAATGATAATGTAAGGATTAATAAAATAAGGTATGCAGATTACCCTTAGGCATTTGGATGTTGTACCAGTTAACTTATTATTTACTAAACTAACAATTTCCCTCTAACTGATTTCATTGTTTCAGATGTAAATCTGACTCAGACATTTACAACCCTGTATTAGTAGCAGCTAGATTGCAGTGGATAGAGTACCAGATTCAGAGTCAGGAAGACCTGAATTCAAGTTCTTCCAGACAGTTACTAGCCATGTGATCCTGGGCAAGTTGCCTCATCTGCAAAATGGGGCTACTAATAGTACCTACTTTATAGGTTGTTGTGAGGATCAAATGAGACAGAAAATGTAAAGCATTTTGCACATTGTAAAACGTGGTATAAATGCTATTCTTGTTATTATTCTTATTATTCTTATTTACCTGTAAGAAGGTTGGACCAGATTAGAGAGTTTTAATCTTTTTTGTGTCATTGACCCATTTGGTAATCTGGTAAAGCCCATGAATCCCTTAGCAGAATAATGTTTTTTAATGCATAAAATAAAACACATAATGAAACACAAAAGAGACCAATAACGTTGAAATTCAGTTATCAAAATATTTAAAAAATTGGGGCAGCTAGTTGGAGCAGTGGATAGAGCACTGGCCTTGAAGTCAGGAGGACCTGAGTTCAAATCCAGCCTCAGACCAAACACTTGACACTTACTAGCTGTGTAACCCTGGGCAAGTCACTTAATCCCAATTGCCTAAAAACAAACAAATAAAAAAAAACTAAAAATATTTTAAAAATAAATTTCATGGACCTTGGAATCTTTGGACTAGGTGGTCTCTAAGGGCCCTATCAGCTTTAAATCTATGATCTTACCTGAGATAAAGAAACTGTTCGCTCCATCAATATTTTGGTCCGCTTAAAACCTGGATCACTTTCTGCAAGGACATTCATAGTTTTCTTGCCAATGAATTCCAAAGCATCCAGGCCACCACTTAAGACACTTTTACCCTACACAGGAGATGATTCAACACGATTAGATTTTTACTCTGTTGTTTTGCAAGAGTGACAATTCAGTGTCAGTCACTTATCTTTAAATGTTAAACTCAATATAAATCCTCCACTTTGACTCATCACCAGGTTTATAACACACCTAATTATTTCTTTTCCTAAGGGATCTCTATAATCCATACAGTGACTATGTGAATAAAACAAAGAATAATGCTCAGTAAATATAAAACCATTACAGGTTAATTGTACTGGGTCCCTGTGTGTATTCAATACATATTTATGATATAAAGCACTAATAAGTCATAGGATTGACTTAGTAAAAAATAAATTTGAACAAAACCAAAAGAATTCTGTGGAGCAATCTATTAATATGTCACATACTCTCAGTGACTTACTGTAGTGTTCTCTAAACCATCACCTTAAGGTAAAAAACCCTCAGGCTATTTTGATGGTCTTTCACTCATCTCAGAAGTTAGCAAGATCTGTATGCAATTAGTATATTCATAAGCTATCTTGAATGCGCTGATTTCCAAGTGCTTTTGGGTTCAGAAGCCATTATTCTTTTCTACAGTCTTCCCTATACAGTTCTGGTGTTTTCTCTGGTAATGTAACATTGAATGTCTCAAAGCTCTGTCCCCACCATCACTACCTTCCAGGCCAGTCAGGGAGAAGTCCATTCCTGGGGGTTGTGTAACAGACCAGAACAGGCCAGGACATCCACTATACTCTATATGAGCCTTAGCTGACTCAGCAAGGATGGTTTAGGTCAAGTTTTGGAGGACTAGGCATACTGTAGTGCAGTTCTGAATGGCCCTGGAATGTTAGAATCATTTGTTTGGGCTCAGAAATATCCAAGTTTCTCTTGGCTCCTGTAGACTGGATGACTGCTCCAGGCCTGTCTATAAGCTCTCATAGAAACTTTGAGCCCAGATTGATAGTGGGATGATCTATTCCTGGAAGTCTGAAGTAGTCCTAAGGTAGTAGGCACAAAATAGATTATGGCATACGCTATTAGGCACTCCTCTTCTATGCCTTTTCCTATTAAACTAAGATTGAAACCATCTGCCCTGAGTTCTCTCAGCAAGCTTCTCTGCATCATCCATCACATAGTCTCTCCTCCTTTCCTCTAGTCACAAAAGAGCCATCCTTATTCCTCAATAAAGCAAATTCTTCTATCTGTATCCCTAATCCCATTGCTTCTCACTTCCCCTAGGATCTTATTCTAGCAGTCATTCCCTTTGTCAGCATCTTCGATCTCTCCTTCATTGCTTCTTTCTCTGTTCAAGTTTCCCTACAGCTAAACGTGGCTTCCTTAACCATCCTATCTTATTCAGCTTCCATTTTCTTTCTCTTTTCTCTTTTACTATTTAAACCTCTGGAATAAGTTGTCTATAATTGATTCCTTTACTTCCTCCCCACTCTACTCTCTCCCCAACCTCTTTGTAATTCAGCTTTCATCCCAATCACTGTACTGGAACTGTTCACCAGTGACTTCCTAACTGACAGATTCAATGGCCTCATCTTCTGTCATCTCTCAATCACATGACAATTGATATTCTCTCCTACCTGATATTTCCTAATCCTTTTCTTCAGAGTCACATTCTCCTGGTTGTGCTGTCTCTCTAAGCCTTTCTCGGTCTCCTTCACTGCCTCTTCCTGACCGTGTCTAGTGGATATTCCCCAAGTCTTATCATTAGTCTTCCCCTCACCTCTGTATGATCTCCCTTAGCTATCTTATTTGTTTGCATATTGTCTTTATATTAGAATGTGAGCTCCTTGAGGGAAGGGAACACGTTTTTGCCATTCTTTTTATCCCCAGCACTTAGCACAGTGTATCAATAAGCACTTACTTTCTGATTGACTGACTTCAGCAGCTCCACGTAAATCCTCTATATGGACAACTATAAAGTCGTGTCTCTATCACTGATCTCTCTTCTGAGTGCTAGAGCTGCATTTCTAGTTGCATACAGCACAACCTCAGCTGGCTATCCCACCAAAACCTCAAGCTCAATTTGTCCCAAACCAAGCTTATTACCTTTCCCATTAAGTCTGTTCCTCCTTCTGAGTTCACTATTTCTGTCATTGGCCCATCATTTATCTCCTGTGTTTCTAACTTTGGGTTGATTAAGATAATCTGGACAATTCGAGAAGGGGTGAATGACACACTTTGATGACAGTGAGTCTTGGTTTTGCTCTCTAATTGCCTCTGTGGTGTGGATACGGTCATGAACATTTCCATGAGAGTATCTCTCTGGTAGTGCTGACCTGCATGAGTAGAAAGGGTTCCTCCACTGGGATTATATATACCCTATCCCAATTAAATTACAGGTCCAGTCCCTATCCCTACCTGTATCTACTGTCATAACTATGCCTCCATTTCACTCCCAATTCTCCAACTCAGGTTTGAAACTGTGGATCCTAAGAGACCAACCATCTAAGAAAAAAAAGGCAGCTCTGCTAACTGGTAAGAATGACTCCAATGGAGTCAAGTCTTGCCTCATCTGAAGGCTCCCTCTTTACTTCTGTAAATTGATGGATCTTGTGGTCTCCTTTTCTTCCTCGTCCATTTCTTCCATTTCTCGTATCTCCTCCCTTTCTTAATATGTATGTATCATACGTCTCTGAGTAATTTGAGTGGAGTCTGTATTAAAGGAAAGGGGGAACCTACTCCCAGGAGATTTTGGAGTATAGGGGAAGGTGGTAAATGTGAACTGAATGTTAGGGACTTCGACCAACCCAGAAAAAAAAAAACCATGGAATAAGCATAAGATTGAAGTTAGGTCGTTTTTCAATCAGAACTTAAATGTTACTCTTAAACTTGTCCTTTCTTCCTGCATAAAGGTAATTTTTATTTTATTCCTATTATTTCTATATCAAGGTCATATTTTCTCTGAAGTAGAAATCATACCAAAATTATTTCCCACAGAGTTATGAGCAAGACCTTCTCTTCTTGGATGTCTCTGATCTAGGTCACAAGTAAATAGAAGTACTAAAAAAAGAACAGGAGGTTCAAAAGAAAACAGAGGAAACAGCTAGATAACTGACTGTGTTATGAACAACGGTGGTGATAGTTGACAGCATTCCTCGGGATCCTGATGGGGAAGAGGGTGGACCTTCTCCAGGGCTCTGATCTGTGCCAGCTTCTGTTACTAAAGAGACACAAACAATTGTCTTAGTGGGTAGATCTAATGGTCTTGACATCCTCTTCATTACAAGCATTACATACTGAGAGATCTGTAAAGACAAGAAATCGACTGGAGTGCATTGAGAGAAGGACAACAGGTAGTCCATTCCATATGAGGATCTGTTGAAGAAAAGACTCAGGGGAAACAGGACACCTGTCTTCAAGTATTTGAAGGGCCATCACATGAAAGTAAGGTTAAATTTATCCTGCTTGGTTTCTCAGAGCAGAACTAGAAACAACGTGAAACTTGTTAAGAGGTATATCTTAGATCTACGTAGGAAAAACTTTCTAAAACTTTCTGTCTAAAAGTGGAGTGATCTCCGTTGGGAGGCAGTGACTTCCACACTATTACAAGTGTTTAGTTAGAGAATGAATGATCACTTGTCTGGAAAATTGTAAGGGGGATTCTTATTTGGGAATGGGCTGGATCAATTGGTCTCTGATATTCCTTTCAATTCTGAGACTTTGTAATTCTTTGAATCATTCACCTGCCGAGGTAACATAGTCCTGCTGTTACTGCACACCGCATTCCTATTACTTATATTTCACTTCTATAAGCAAGTCCCAGGGTTTGGCTTTCTCCTGCAGACTCTGGGTGTCTACTTCTCTGCAGCTTCCTTGCCATTCACTTCTGTCTGAAATTATGTTATCTATTGCCCAAATTCAACACTATCTCCTCATCTTTACACAAGCTTTCCTAACGTGCCAGGAAGGCAATCCTTTCTTATCTTCATCCTTTAGAATCTTGACCTTCTTTCCAATCTAAGCCCTGGTCCTGCCTATGAATATTTCACACCTGTCCCTGGTCCATATGCTTATTCCATGCACTTCTCTGCTTTCTGAATTTCCTTCGCCAAAGGAATTCTTCAGACTCCAGGTGTATAATAGAAAGAAGATTCCTTGCACACATAGTATTTAGTAGTAATGCAGTCTCCACCACCACTAAGAGGAGTGCCATGGTACCATACCTTGGAATGTTTTATCTGTATCCGTTTGTTCACCTTCAGATGACCTAGAATTCGCATTATGAATCCTGAGGGTGGCCCCTGCTTTTTCTTTAACTGCGGTTAAACCATGACCTGTAAGAGAATAAGAATATGATATAAATTTAGAAATTTTTTCCTTTTATTAGAATGAAATTCTTAGTATTGCAAATTTCAATACTATATTCAAGGCTCTTTAATTTGATCAGTACGGATACTGCAGTGATGAAAACTGTGACCTCTATATGTCACAGTCAAAAGCTGCTGGAGCTGAAAAATTTATTACTCTAGGTTGCTCCAAAGTGAAAATCCATCTAATTATAATAAAGAGAAGCGGCATGGTAGAGTGGATAGCCAGCCAGCCTTGGAGTCAAGAAGACTTGGGTTAAATCTGGCTCCTGGCACATGTTAGCTATATATTCAGGGGTAAATCATTTTACCACTCAGTGCCCCAGGGCAACCTTCCAATACTCTAAGGAACAAATCATGATCTACAATGGAGGAAAGTTTCTACACTAGGAACTCCTTACACTGAAGAAATAGGGAATATAGTTAAACTAACAAGAGCCCAACAAAATAGAGCCCAGTTTGTTTATTTGGAATTGTTTTTCTGCATTTTATTTTTTGGAACAAGCAAATCATGGGAAAACAACATAGTATTAGGAATTAGAATAGCATATTCCAAGGGGTATGTTTTCATGATTTCAGATACAATCCACTGTCTACACAGCGGGGGAGGTGGTCATAGGTACTGTTTCTCTAGCATTGGGAATATGGTATAGTGGAATCCTTTTGACCCCATCTCCAATAAGTAGTTATTTGTTCAATCACCATTTGATTTGCTCCTTTTGATGGAGAATACCTCCTAAGGCAGCCCATTACATTTCTGAACAGCTCTAATCATGAAGAAGTTCCTTCTTGTATTTAGCCCAAATCTGCCACCCACTCATCCCAGTTCTCCCTTCTGGAGATGTGCAGAAAAAGTCTCTTTATGACATAGATTTTAGTGCCTCAACTATCCTGGGCACCAATGCCTTACTATGGGTTATGGCACTGGGGACCAGTGACCTGTCTCTGAATAGTAATTATGTCTTTCCTTCAACTTCTCATGAGTCTTACTTCATGAAAAGCCAGAAAAGATAGAGAAGAGTCTTTTACTCTTCTTTGTCCAGAAGAATGCTTAGTACTGTGCCTGGCACATTACAGGTGCTTAATATTTATAGAATTGGATTAGGTATAGTCAAATCTCATGAGCTACATGAAGCAGGGGACTGATTTACCAATACTGTTCAATTATAGTAGAGAAGCAAGTCAATTCAGATTCTAGAGATCATTGAACTTATGATTTCTGTTTTCATTTTTGTCTCTGATTGTATAACTTCAGAAAAAAAAAAACTCCTTGGCATCTCAGCTTTTTTTTTTAACCTAGAAAGTAAAGGTAACCAAGTAGATGAGAGAATGCCAGGAAGACTGGGAAATGATAAATTTGAAATACTGTGATATATATACTAGGCCTCAACAGAAGTAACTGGCAATGATTAATATTCTATGACATTATGATGTGGAATTTTCATTTATCTTTTTGTGTATATAATGTGCATCTCTCTCTCTCTCTTTCTCTCTCTCTCTCTTTCTCTTTCCCCTTCCCTCTTCCTCTCCCTCTCACTTCCTTCCTCTAACTGATACAAATACCAGGGGCAAGACTCACAGAGAAATAGTCACTGTTCCATTTAAGGATGCCTGGGTCTCCAGGTAACAATTCTTTTTTCCCCCACCTCCTCTTAACTCAGTTATTTATACAATGCTGAAAGATATATTAAGCAAAAGCTTGAGGAGTAAGTGGTATTGTCTATCACTCTAGCGTTCAAGCAATAATAGCAAACACTTTGCATCCTAATACTTCTATATGAATCTACTTTTTGTATTGAATCAATAGAGTGGAGGGTAGAAAGAAGACATATCCAATATATGTCAATGTTCCTGCATCCCTTGTCATAAGATGACTGACTTATCAATTATCATCAAATCATCCAGGGACAGTATAACAACCAATTAAAACCGCAATTAGCTATTCTAAGGCTGATTAGGATTAGGATTGATTGATTGATTCAGTCAGTCAATGACATTGTAAGCAATAGGGAAAGGGTTTCTATTTTTTTGCAAAGATATGGCATTTCAGATTGTTGCATGAAAAATGTGCACATTTTATGTGTCCCTTTTTCTGTATCTATTTATGGGGCCATATTAGTACAAAATTCCTGCATAGAGCCCCATTTTGATATTTTAAGAAATAATTTCTAGGTATCAAGAGTACACTAAACAAAGAAAAGGATACTAGGAAATGACAATATGAGTAACAAAAACATTTTCTACTTTTATCGCACTTTCCATCAAAAGAATCTCTCTTCAAGTCTTATTTGGTAACTGTTTACTTCCTTTTAGATTTGGACAAAAATCAAAAGGCAAGTTGATAGTGAAGCCTGTTTGCCTCAGTTTCCTCATCTGTAAAATTATCTGGAGAAGAAAAGGGCAAGCCTCTCTAGTATCTTTGCCAAGAAAACTCTCAAATGGGGTCATGAAGAGCTGGACACGACTGAAATGACTGAACAACTACAACAAAACGAAGTCTTATTTGGTAACAGTTTACTTCCTTTTAAATTTAGGTAAAAATCAAAAGGCAAGCTGATAGAAAAGCCAGGAAGAAAATCTAATACATCATGATGCCATGCTCTTACCCTTCACTCGCAAGTTGGCTTACCCTGCTCAGTGCACGGTCAAATCTACCATTGGAAGAGCAGTTGTCCAGTGAGAGGGACATTGGTTTCACATGAAATGTCCTGCTAGAGACATAGTGTGACAACTGTACACTAGGCAAAACTAACCTGAAGTTTAATACAGAAATTTTATTTTGGAGTTTTTTACTCTCAGTTTTTTGCTCTTTTTACTCTCAAAGTCAACTTTGCAAACAGTCACTTGTCTAAAAGTTTTCTAAAAATTCTACCAACAGGAATTGGTTACCAATGGATAGCCTTAGATATAACCCCCAGTTTCTCCACAAACACATCAGACGACCAGCGCTTATTCTTCCATGACTAGGATAGCAAGAGAGATTTTGCCGGGGTCTGGACAGTAACAGGACAAAGTTTTAAAAAGCTAATCATGGGATTTTCATTTTTTTATATATTGGCAATAATGCTAATGTTGAGAGGAAAAAAATCATAAGCCATCATTGGATTTCAAAGCTAAATTGTACCAGCCTCTTTATCTTACGGAGTGTGTAGCCTGTAAGCAGTATTCCACAAGCCAAACAAAAGAAAGACAACATGGATGAACCCAAAACCTAAACAGAGGCATCTTACTGCTTATATCATTGTTCACCAATAGGATCTAAAACACAGTTAGATTATAACTCTGCCCAAAATGATATGCTGAGTATAGGATATTCAGTCTAAGTCACCTAAGCACTCATGTATTAAATGAGGAACCCATTTAATGTCAGAAAAAGTCAGTTTTATTTATTAGAAACCTTTGTATCTTGATGAATTTAATTAATGTTAACACTCCTACTGGTGCAGATTGCAATCCTTTCACACATTCTCATCTCATGGTACTCTTTTCCCTATCCTCCTATAACCCCTCCAGAGACCTAACTCTAGACCTTTTAACAGTCCATGGGTACTTGTGCAACACTCAGGCTATCCATATGTTATCTTTTGTGCTTGATATATGATTATTCCACTTCCTTCTCTAATCATACATTTCCTTAATAACATCTTGTATATTATTCTTGCAGGTGTAATGTCCCTACCACTATATATATATATATATATGTGTGTGTGTGTGTGTGTGTATACATGTACATATACATACATACATGTAAATTGATGTAAATTTCTGTAGGATGCAGGAAGAGGACAGGAGCTATTAAAAGAGATCAGGGACTTTGGGGGAAGGTGAATAGGAAAGAGGAACATGGTAATCAATATGGAACTGACCAACTTGTTCCTTCCAGTTATTTACCTGGGTTAGGACTTCAATTGTCAGGCCATGCCCTTTTGGACAGAAACAAAATGTTGGCATGGGAATGAATACAGTGAAGTGAGCAGAGGAGCAAATTGGAAGTGGCAGAATCCATGGCAGTTTTTGAGCCTGATTAGAAACTACAATGATCAGAGTTTCTATGATAAGCCATGTTTCCTATGTTTCAGGAAAAATGGGTCTCCCAACATTCCAGCTATGCTTACATTCTCCCATCCTTGCTTAATGGGTTTTGTAGAATGAATGAGTGAATAAGAATTAATGATAACCCTCTTTAATCCTTCTGCTTTGTTATGCTTTTATTGATCCAATTAAATGTTTGCTATTGTTATACATGTTAATGCATTCATTATCAGAGGTAGAACTAAATGAGACCTAAGAGGCCCCAGTCCAGCCCCCTCTTTTTACAGGTGAGCATTTTAGGCTTGAGTAATTGGGAATAACATTCCGGGAAGGAGGTGAAGGGGAACGGTCAGTTGGTGAGGGGTGGGGATGAGAGAGCCAAAGACACAAAATGAAGAGGGTAGAGCCAGTGGGTGATTGACAGCCAGCATAACCCTGAATATTAGTGGATTTATTGAATCAGGAAGCTGGTTGTATACTACTACAGTGCTACTTAATGCTTACATACTGGTAATATGCTATAGCTTATTGATATCCACTAAGTACTTCTCCATTGCCTTTTAGGTCATGGGCATAACTTTGATTCTTCAGAGATCATGGCATTCCATAATTCACAACCATAAAGTGTCATGGAGATAATACTCAAGTGAAAAAGGTGGATTTTTTTTTTGGTCAGGGAAAAACCTGACATCATTGAAAGAGTGGTACTATTTTCCAAATACAATTTAGCTTGCTGCTTTCCTCTTATTCAATTTTTGGAACTAATATCCAGATAATAATAATAATAATTGTAATAGCTAACATTTATATAGAGCCTACTATGTGCCAGACACTGTGCTAAGTGCTTCACAACTATTATCTCATTTAAGCCTCATTACAACCCTGAGAGGTAGATGCTATTATTATTCCCATTTTACAGATGAGGAACCTGAGGC